AAGTGTTACTGACGAGAAGTTCTCATTGTCATCTAACAATTATGCAATTAAAATTATTCATATTTAACATCTTGCTGCTGAAAGCCTTCATTAATATCACTCTCCTAATTAACCATTTGCATTGGGTGCAATGTAACTGTTAAATATTAAAAGAAGCTCTGAAAACAAAGAATAGCTGGAAAAAAACTTCCTGGTACATTATGTGTTACAAGTACTGATAGAGGGCACTGTTTTTGCTAGCACTGTCCTGGCATTTTCTATACCAGGATATAAGGTAATGTAAGCTAGCTGTAGTGAATCAGTGCTTGAACAAAATATCAAAATATCATTTTTTGAAAACTCACATTTTATTTATTTCAAGAGTGACACAAAAGAAAACATGTTTTTATTTGCAGATTTCATGGGTATTTCAGTAATTCTTAGTTAATAGAGAATAGAACAAGGGTTCTGTGGTGATTAGTGTATCTATGTATAAGCATTACAAGCATTTAATTGCATGGGATTATAGTGCCAATATTGTATCCATGTACTTATAATTGCATTTGACCACATTTTAATCTTGCATTTCAAATTTGGGACAGTGTAAGTCTTCAATTGATTTTTATAATTTATTTCTCTGCATGGCTATGTATTAAATTACTTAATTATTTACTTTAATGAATATTCACAAATTATATTGGGTTTTAGTTAAGTTTTCTCTGTAGCGTATATTACAAGCATCAGTAATTCCCGAAATCCAAAATGAGTTGCATGTATTACATCATTTCTGGTTAGTGTGTAGTGTTCATAGCAAATTTTCTTATTTCTGACTATTGTTTGGTAATTTCTTGGCGTTGTAGGATAGAAGAAAACCAGTTAAGAAAGGTCCCCCTCGAATCAAAGGGAATATTCATGATATTGAACAACAATTGCCTGTACCTAATGATGGCATTAATGAAGAGGTAAATATCACAAGATATAATCATACTTCCACTACTATTAGTTGCCACTTGGCGCATTGAACATGTCTCATACTTCAGAGTGGAATGGACTACCAACAGTATTGAGAGATGTGAGCCATGGAGTGTAAACATCAGCGAGTAGGGGTGGACAACCACCAACAGTATTGAGATATGTGAGCCATGGAGTGTAAACATCAGTGAGTAGGGGTGGACAACCACCAACAGTATTGAGATATGTGAGCCATGGAGTGTAAACATCAGTGAGTAGAGGTGGACAACCACCAACAGTATTGAGAGATGTGAGCCATGGAGTCTGAACATCAGTGAATAGAGGTGGACAACCACCAACAGTATTGAGAGATGTGAGCCATGGAGTCTGAACATCAGTGAATAGAGGTGGACAACCACCAACAGTATTGAGAGATGTGAGCCATGGAGTGTAAACAACAGTGAGTAGGGGTGGACAACCACCAACAGTATTGAGATATGTGAGCCATGGAGTGTAAACATCAGTGAGTAGAGGTGGACAACCACCAACAGTATTGAGAGATGTGAGCCATGGAGTCTGAACATCAGTGAATAGAGGTGGACAACCACCAACAGTATTGAGAGATGTGAGCCATGGAGTGTAAACATCAGTGAGTAGGGGTGGACAACCACCAACAGTACTAAGAGATGTGAGCCATGGAGTGTAAACATCAGTGAGTAGGGTGGACAACCACCACAATATTGAGAGATGTGAGCCATGGAGTCTGACATCAGTGAATAGAGGTGG